AAGTGGTTACAGACACAAAATAGAAGAATTAAATTTTAAGAAATAAGAGAAGCTTATTATCTCTGACAAAAGAAGGTAAAGAGAAGATGAGTAATAGTACAGGAACATTCTTAGATGAAGGTGGGAAAACCGATGAAGCTCACACTGGATCATTTGATCTCACATTTGAAACCAACTACAAAGTGAATGTGGAAGAGCTTGGGGATTAAAGAAAATGGAAAAAGAAATGAGAATATCTGAAAACTTCTACCTGGGAAAAGTGGCTGAAGTGAAAAAGAAAGGATCACAAAGATCACTGAGCAGGAGAGGAGGGTCCTCTTGAAGCTGAAGAGCACAAATGGGCACACTAATGGAACCCGAATAATATACATGAACACGTGCATGTGTTTATGCTATTCACACATGTAGATTTTCTACAGAGGGCGGGTTTATGAGCATGTGCATTTATTATCCTTAAGCCTGAGTTCAAAATATTACAATGAGGACCCAAAACTTAAAGAGAACTTCAGAACTTAAAGTCAATACTCAGTTACCTATTCATTATTCTAATTTTCTGGCTCAGAGAAAGCAAGAAAGCAAATGGCTGACTCCAAATTTCATCATCCTATAATTGACATTTGACATAAAAAGTACTTGGCCTGACAAGTATTCAGGATCCCCTTTCATTATTCCGAGCAGTGATTAGTCAAATACATTTGTATATGTATTTCCATAGAGTGGGATTCAGTACCAGAGAGAGAGATTCAGGAGCCAAAGGCAGAATGGCCAGGAGGCACAGAAGGTATGACACTTAGATTCACGTCGTCTGCAAGTATTTCCCCTCACTCAGCTCTCTGGCCCATCACAAGAGAAGAAAGGGAAAGTGAGGATCAAAACAAGGAGAGCAATGGATCTCTTAACTCAGAACTTGAATTTCTCTTTATTGGTATCTTTTTCTAAGGGCCACAGTGCTATCTTTTTCTCATCGCTAAAACAAAAACAGGATGATTTTGCTGGTGGTATGCTGAAGCAGGAAGCTTTCTACTGTCTGCTGGTATTTGCATAAACATGGAACAATTACAGAAAAAAAAGGCTTGAGAAGTACTTGAATTAAATGTATGACCACGAATACCATGCAGGCCCTGAATGTTGTCCAACCACCAAACTATGCTTCTCTAGTCCATTCAGCCTCCTACTTTCCTAGACAGCCATTATATTTAAGTCCTGAGACAATTTTTTTTTCACATTTTAACATCTCTGGAATTAGGATGCAGTTTTTGACTGATAGTGAATAAAGATTATAATTGGCAGTATTTTTTCTTTCTTAGTAGTAGATAAAATAATGCTAGGTTTTTATTT